AAGTCATGGTTCTCCTGCTTGCAAGATGTGAGATTTGGCAAGATATTTAAGCTTTCCGTGCCTCAGTTTCTTTAACTATAAAATGGGGGTGACTGTAATGTCTAATTAGTAAGCGAGATAATGCCATAAAGAGCTCTGCACATTGCCTGCTAGAGGAAGCTTGGAGAAACTGACACAAAGGATAATTGTTACTGGTTCCTTGTTATGTTCCTTCTTTCTTGATTTATTGGACACGTATCAAGTAGTGGCCCAGTGCTCAGGTTTCTAAATCTCCTCATGTGAAATAAGAGGCTCAAGAATTGTTTGGAAATGTTCTCTGCAGGTGGGATGCCTTTTCTGAAACTGAGCCAGCAGTTCTGGACACCTAGGTCTCGCGATTTCATCAAAAGTCAAGTCCACTATCTTTAGGGGCCTCAAAGTCTGCCCTTATCTCCATCCTTGACTTTCAATTTCTCAGGAACTACAGTTTCCAACATTTATTATGGGTTTGGATCAATGAAATGTCCTTTCATGCCTCTGGGAACTTAACTCCAATTACAAAAGCCCTGGTGGATGAAGCTGGTGGTCACCATCGACAGATGGGGAACGAGGGATAGGAGGGACTTGTCCATACCCAACTCATCAATGATGGAGCCAGGAACTTGCAGAGTCAAGCTCTAACCACTGCCTGCCTCCACCCGAGACCCAGGAAAGCCTAGGTCCCCCTAGACAGCTGTGGTGAATCAGGCCCCAGTATATCAGGGAGGGTGGTGCTAAGAAAGAAGCCCTTGGCAGCCAATAATTCCTGATTCCTGGGCTCCCTTTAGATGGAGACAAAGAGAACCCTCGTTAATCTGAGTGGGCCAGAAATGGAGACCAGCTAGCCAGTCTGCTTGGTGCTGGGGGATGAGAGGGTGAATGTGGTGTTTGCCCCTGTGCAGGAATCAACCAGATCTGGTGGAGGCTGCTCTCTGATGCCTCTGGCATGCACATGCTCACGCCTACATTCAGAGCACTCTTAGGCAGTGCTGTGTGCCTGGGTTGTGCCTCAAGGGCATCCCCCTCCCACTTTTTGATTTGTTTTTCCAAAGAGTGCCCACCAGGAAATAGGAGAGTTTTCTGGACGGGGTCTAAGAACTCTCTGGACTATCTTTTTAAAAGGCAAACCAGTCATGTCAGTATCGTGTGTGTATCAGAAAAATTCAATGATCACGTCAAAACTTACGATATAACATTGATTCTTTAAACTGAGGTTAGAGGAGATAAATAAGAAAAACAGCAAGTCATTGTAAATTAAAAAAAAAAAAACCTTTTAAATAACTGTGCAGATGGTACAAAGACAAGCTAACAGGTTGTAATAGTGGTGAGCAAAAACATCGCTCCAAAGTAGAGTTTGAAGCCTAAATTTTGTGAAAACAAGGCTCTGGGTGTCTCTGTTGCTTTGATTTCAGTGAGTGACTAGGTCATTCATTACCTTGTATTTGGGGATGGTCTTCAGAAGTTCTTTCACTGGGACATCTGTGCCAACCACTCCCAGGAGAATGCCCTTCGATCTCTGTCGAAAATAAACATTGAATTATAATAACAGTAAGTTAACTTGGCAAAAGAAACAGAATCTCATGAGAAGTCACATACCGTCTGCCTAGTGCCTTCCCCAAACTGATAGAGACTGAGGATTAACCCATATCTCCAAGAACGGTCTCTTCTATCCCCCACCCTCTACCTAAAATGTTACTGGGTAAAATGAGAGCTTCTCAGGCCAACTGTTAACTACCACAGTCCCCAACGCATACTCCTACCAAGACACTATAATAGCTTCCCTCTCCTGTCTTGAAAATTAAACACTGATTTGAAGAAACACAAGAGTTTCAGCAGCTAAGGGCTCTAAACATTCACCAGTTTCTCTTATGAAAGCCTTTTACAGGAAAGACAGTATGTTAACTGCTTTCTCCATTTACACTGCCATCTGGTGCCCAGGAGAGAGAGACTAAATAGCCAGAGAAATATATAATAACCCTAACACTTTTACCAACTGAGGACCAGGGTGAAGGAATAGGCCTCCAGAGCCCCATTTTCCAAGGCATGTAACCATTGTGATTTGCTAAAACCTTCCAATGTCAGAAAGGCCATTGTATTTTTTAAGGTTTTGTGGTGGGTTGAACAGTGTCCCCCCAAATTCATGTCCACCCAGAACCTGAGAATATAATGCTATTTGGAAATAGCATCTTTGCATATGTAATCATTAAGGATCTTGAGATGAAATCATCCTAGATTTAGGGTGGACCCTAAATCCCATGACTGATTTCCTTCCAAGAGGGAAGGACACAGAGAAACACATAAGAGGAACAGGCCACATGAAAACAGAGGCAGAGATTGGAGTGACACTGCCACAAGCCAAGGAATGCCTGGGGCCCGGAGAAGCTGAAAGAGGCAAGGAGAAATTCTCCCCTAGAACCTTCGGAGGGAGCATGGCCCTGCCGATATCTTGATTTCAGATTTCCAGCTTCTAGAATTGTGAGAGGAGAAATTTCTATTTTTTAAGCCACCCAGTTTGTGGCACTTCGTTCCCAACAGCCCTAGGAAACTAATAAAAGGCTGGTAACTATAAATGAGAGTGGTCAGTGCACCACAATCAAGGATGGTCTCTGGGGCTTTTTCTCCTCTGGTCCTCTAACACTTAAACTTTGGAAAGGTGCTG